CTGTTGTCCTCTCCCCTGATGGGCTGTTGCGAACTGGGCTGCTCCAACTCCTCTGGGCCCAATGCGCGTTGGGCCTTCTTGCAACATGGATCGTGGACGCTGGGCTGGTTCTCAGGCCGCCTCCTCGCTGGGCCACCCACAGAGAAGCAGATCGCCATGGCTGAGCTGCAAGCATGGCAGCTGCTCCTCGCCGGAAACAAAATACCTTCGGAGAAACTCACCAGATCCGGCGGACGAGCACGGTAATGAGCGCGCCTCGATAAGGCGGTTCCAATGGTCCTCTCCCTTTGCAGCGATTCGCCGGAAATAAACACGAAAATGGAGAAAATTTCCTAATTTTGACCAATTTGTTCTTAGATCCACGAACTTTGACCGGTAAATTGACGGTTGTCCTGTCGGAATTTTAGCTTGATATTTTAAGGGTAGAACGAGCCTGAGGAGAGCTTCGATGGTGTAAGAATTTTTTAGATCGGATGACTTTTGGCGGCGGCCACCGGCGGCGGCGCGCGGCGACGGCGCACGGCGGAGATCGGTTACTGTAGATTCGCCTCGACGAGAGGATTCTAGTGGTACCCTCGGATTTTCCGTAGTCCTCCCGGATCGACTTGAAAACGCATTTGAATGCTCGATTTTGACCATTTTTTTCCTAGATCTGGGAAATTTGACCACGAAATTGAAGGTCTTCCCGGAAGAATTTTTGCATGAAATTTTAAGGGTAGCTTCACCTTGACGAGATCTATCCGGTGATGCCAACCATTTTTCGATCGGAGCATGTTTTCCGGCGGCCGGCGGCGGAGGCGGCGGCCGGCGGTGGCGGCGGTCGGTGGAGAAGAAAGAGGTTTTCCAATTTTTTCAGTCGGGACTCCGCTTGACTTTTTTTTCGAGTCCCACAGACGGCGCCAATGAAGTGAATAAATTTCACCCGGGCTCCTTCAACTCGAACCGGCCTCCGTACCTGCAGAACCCAACGCCGGGGGTGGCCCCGGTGTCGGGCCCCCGATGCCTAAGTCAGTCTCCAATCCAAAGAGAGAGATAGTGCAGTAATGAATGAATAGAGAATGAGAATATGAGGTATTTTGGCCCCCTTTTATAGGGGGAGTATACCTTTTGGGCCCAAGTTGGGCTTGACCCCTATCGTTGGGCTTAGATGTCTTAGTGGGCTTATCCTCCAATATATATCCGCTTTATCCATTAAACCGGGTCCAGTATAATATCCTATATCATTGTGTAATTTAATAAACTATTTATAATTAACTCCATTTACGCTCGACTATAAATAAAACTTATATTGTTTAGTTAATATTTTTAATAAAAATTATCATCATTGCATATTAAATAATTCTTAGTCACACATAAAATTGCCATAAAATTTGATTTAGTGACAAAATTTAAATATGTCAAACATTTTATTTTGTAAAAAAAAAAAAAAA